CACACACACACACACACACACACACACACACACACACACACACACACACCAGCTGGCCCTAACGCTCTGTGCCAAGTACACAGGTCACAGGCAGGAAGGCTGGAAGAGGGACTTCTCCCAGTGCAGGCGCCTTCAGTTTTGCTTCAGAGGTGACTAGAGGTCTAGGCCCCGAGTCAGCTGCTTGGATACAGTTCCAATTGTACTTCTCGGAAGTGAACACCAAAATACCACTAAAGGCAGAGGAGAGGGACCACGTACCCCACTTGCAAATAAGCATTCCCTGTGAAGTGTCCCACTTTATCTTAATTGTGTGTATGAACACTCTATTTCATAATGTAGCTGTTTTATCAAAAAAGGTCATCCCCTGACTCCAAACCATTTCAGTAAAACTGATGTTTCAGAAAAGGCAGGCTTTTTAACTTGCAGGTTGGTATTCCCTGGTAATCACTGCTTACTTGGGAGGAGAAAACTTGGTTGTAAGGAAATGTGACTTGGCAAGGGGGAAAGGTTGGAAGTCCAACCGTGGCTTGTCTCTGCTCAGGGTACTTGAGAAGGAAGAACCTGGGTGTGCGGGCGGAGCTGAAGGCCTGTGGCGGGGTGCCATGGGAAGAGGGGTTCCAGCTGGAGGGAAAGGAGGGTGTACCTGCTGGGAGATGGGGCTTGATTCAGCACACGAGAGTGACGAGAACTCTCTCTACACTGCCTTTAAGCCAAATGAGGCCAAGGGGGCTGGAGCGGGGGTGACAAAAACCTGCACTGAAAATTCCCACTTGGTAATACACAACCCAGCCTTCTTGTTGTGACAAGACCCAGAAAACCGGCAGAAATCACCCAAATAATTCAGGTTCCATCAGATCCTTTAGTGACTATTTTGGAAACTCAGGCAATTTGAGTTCAAAAATACTGATTTCAACTTTTAATCAGATCTCTTTGGTCCTTTTTTTTTAAAGTCATTTCCTTTCTACCTCTTCAATCATTTTTTTCATTTCCACAGCACTGAATTATGGATTTGAAGTGCTGGATAACCTCATGTACTAAAAATATCCCTGTATTTTGAACTTTTAACTCTTTCTCCAACCCCATCTTCACGCCACCCATCTTACTTCGTGGAGCCACATTTTCACAAATGTATAATTGGACTTTTAGAGACTATCTACAAAGCCCTACTGTGCCCCCCACTATTTCATGCTGCAATATAAATAAAGTGGGGTTTTATTAGCAGGTAGGGAAAAAATTCTGACTGCCCTTCAGGATTATTTCAGATCCTTCCAGATAAAGTGATGCTATTTGGGTATACAATATCACGGGGGCTGGCTTTCCTGAGTAAGTTCAAAGCAGCCATTGAGGGACTACCTGAAGGATGCATCTTAATTAACTGCTCCTGGTTGATCATAGGGGCACTTTTTCTTGAGCTACCACGACAAGAGAATGACAAGCACAGTCAGTAACAATAAAATTGGTCATCGGAGAGATATGTGCCTGCTGTGGATCTGGGGATGTGTCCGGTAGAAGTATGTTTGTTGCTGGGCAGCTTTCACAGAACTCAGAAGCCGCTACATACACGCCGTCACATACACACAGGGGGAAGGGATGAGTTTCCACGGGGGATGGCAGGCCTTCATGTGTCCTCTTCTTCACTGGCACCGCTGCAGAGGAAAGGAGAACCAGGTGAGTTAAGACATCAAAGAAGGGAGCAGCCTAGTCTACTGGCTGAAGACACAAGCTCTGTTCTCAGACCTACCCGGATCCTGGTCCTAACCCTACCTCTGTTGGCCCATTGGCTATGGGCAAGTTACTTAGCTTCTCTAAGTTCTGATTTCTTTATTTGACTCCAGGGATAATTTTGATAGTAAGATATACTTCCTTGGGTCACTGGAGAATTAAATCAGAGGATACATGTAAAATGTACAATGCCTGGTACATGGCAAGTGAATATCTATAAAGGCACAGGTGAGGGTCATAATATTTTTTAAGCTTACTTGACAAAATAAAGAGCTGGTAAAAATCAGGAGTTTGACTTCCGCGTAGCCTGAAACCCTCTATTGTTAGGAGAGAGAAACGGGAGAAACTACCGCTTGGCACTCCCAACAGAGCTTCTCACTTGGAATCAAGCCAAGGTTTCAATTCCTGCCCAGGACAGCCACAGGATTCAAATGTCACCTCTTTAGAGAAGGTATTCTATCTAAGTAGGATTCCCTGATTATTCTCCATTTTATTTCATTAATTGTCCTTATTACATCCTACACATTGTCTGCTATTTACTCTCCCCTCTACCTCCAACTAGAGCGTAAAAACGTAGCAACACTGTTTATCAGCACCAGCACTAGGATTAGTAGAGAAGTGTTAGTGTTACTAGTAGAGAAGTGTTCAATAAATTGTTGTTTTCAAAAAGGGAGAACTCAAAGCAAGAGGAAGGGAGGGAAGGAGGGAGCTGAAAGGAATAGTCAGTCATGATTGCCCTGGCCAGGGCGTCCAAAACGTCAGTGGTATTTCAGTGGCCAAAACGTGAGCTATGAGTCCCAGGGGCATGGCCAGGACCACGGGTGCCTAAGGTTAGAGCCTCCCTAGCTTGGTCCTGCTGATCCAGGGATTGGGGTGGGGAAAAGGCAGGGCCAGACAGGGAAAGGGGCAGAAGCGAGCACACTGAGAAGGACAAAAGCAGCAAACTTGCCCAGTTTCTCCTCCTCCACTTCTAGAGGCCACTGTCCTTAAAGGTTAAGTAAGAGCCAACTTGATCAAGTGCCTACTGTGTGCTGGGGACACTGAGCTGAGTGCTCCGTTTTCTACTGCTCCTCACCACAATCCCAGGATGTAGGGACTGGTGTTGTTATCCCCACTTGGCAGATGAAGAAAGTAAAGCTGAGACAGAAAATCCTCAGTCACCAGTAAGGTCTGTGTCCTTAAAACTCAAGGATGAGTTCTGGCTGGATAAAGTCTGAAGTAATCAAGTGGGGGTGTTTGGAAGGGAGGAAAACTCTCCTTCCTCTGGTAGAGACAGGAGCTGGAGAAGAGGGAAGGCCTGGGGTGCATCAGCTCCCAGCTATGACAGAGAAATTTTTTATCTCACAAGGGATTATCTCTGTTTATATAAAATCTGCTTTTTTTTGCATCCATTTGGGATAGACTTTAAGGGAAAATATCCTAGGCCAACAGACTTGTAGTACTTCTGCTACAGGCGAAAACATTTCAAAATATCCTAGGCCAATAGACTTGTAGTACTTCTGCTACAGGCGAGCCTGAAATGAATGGAAGTATGCTCTAGGAGCCAAAAGAACCAACTCAGCAACCTTCACGATCCAAAGCTCTGCCCTACTTCCATTCCCTCTTCCTGCCTGGTGTCCAATCACAGAATGAAGGGTGCATGCTGGGAAGGGCTGGACAGTGTACTGTCACTAAAAAAGCAGTGTTTGGTGGCATCTGTCCCAAAGGGAACAAAGGGTCTTTTATGAAAGTGTCTCACCAGAATCAAGGCACAGTTGGAATTGGCGCCATAGTCTCCCCTTTGGTATTATATCCAAAGCAAGCTCTATTGTTCTCTTGTCAATTTCCCTCCAGATACGGGAGGTCCAGCATGATGACTGTGCCCTCTCCTTAAGCTGCAGTTCACTTTTCAGCATTCTTGAGATGCACAGTTTAAAGGGTTCATGAACCTACTTAAATTGTACACAAAATTTTGTGTGTGTGTGTTCCTTTGTTTGAGAAAGGCCATAATTTTCATCATAGTCACAAAAAGGTCAACAACCCTTCCCCCCCAAACTGAGTATAATAAAACTGAGAATAAATTAAGTGTTTTCCTAGTTGCCAGGTTCTCTACTCTAAGACCTGTAGAGTTGGCTTGGGGAAAAGATCAGAAGTCCTGACTGATAAAATCTTTTCTCATGACCCTCAAAGAGATCTGTTCTTGAGTCTGATAAAGTTCATCAGATGGTTTAAAAGCATGAGATCTTGGGATTCTGGAGAATCACTGATTCTTTCATTTGCTAAACATTTATTGACTACTATGATGCTAGGCACAACAATGAATGATGGACACAGTCCTTGCCCTCCCAGACTTTACAGCCTAGTAGGGGAGGGGGGAGGGAGGGAGAGAGAGAGGAGGGGGAGGGGGGAAGGGGAGGGAAGGAGAGAGGGAGGGAAAAAGAGAAATGGTGGGGGAGAGAATTATTTTCCCACAACTGGCATCTTCAAATACAGCATATTCGTTTTCATAATTAACTAGCAAACTGCTTTTCACAATAATGAAGAAGAAAAAGGATCTTAAGTGAATGGGTAACAGAACTTTGCTCACCCTATGTGTGGTCTCTCCTGGAGGGTTACACAATATAATTAGTATGAGACAGCATCTCCCAAATGCTTCTTCACTTTGTATATAAGCTGGTCTGTGTTCGTAAGATTTTATCTTAAATAGTCTACAAAAGTCTTTACTTTCTCCAAGGGAAGTAACACAGCCTTCTACCTCAGCCACTTACCATCCTCCTCTGAAACATCTACCAGCCATATTTAGATTTATAATTGGATCAGTACTCAGATGTTACTGAAATTCTTTCTACTGTGTTGTCGTTGAGGTCACTGTTGCTGTTGTGAGAATGAACTAATGGTGTTAGAAAGACAGCCCATTCATGTTAACTGTACTGGAATTAAAATTAAAAACTTCACTAAAAGCAAAGAGAAAGAATGAAGGACAGCCCACTCTGTAGTAGGTATTTACTGACGAGAGAGGCAGTATTATATAATGGCTCTGAGGTCACCAAGACTGAACTAGGTTCAAATCTCTGCTCTGGCACTGATGAGCTGTGGAACCTTGGGTGAGTTACTCACCCTCTCTGAGTCTCCGTTTCCTCATGGTAATTCTATCTATCTTATAGGTTTATTGTGAAAGTTCTATTTACTTCATGCAGTATAAATGATTAAACATGGGGACTCTCTTCTTCAACCCACCTTCCTTCTTATCCTGAATCAGCAGCTCCTCCTCCTGACTTCTCTTCAGTGTTCCTGGTCCTGGCATCTGAAACACTACCCTCTAGAGCAAATGTGTTCCTATCCCCAGATGCCCTTAGCTTTCTGGAGAGCAACAGTGCTCTTCTTTGCTTGCTTGGGGAGTGTTGTCTTTTGTTTTTTTTAATGACAACTCCAGACAAAATAAAACACAGGTACTGAAGAGAAAGAAAGGCTGAGTTCAATGGCTCTGACCCTTCCACCTGACAGGTCTCTGCCAAACCCTGGTGAGGACAAATATTGAGCGAAGCCTAGTTAACTGGCCTCCGTCATAGAGAGATGGGAGGTTGAGTGTGCTGTCGTATCTAAAAGCAGTGGTTTTAAAGCTGGGGCACATATATCTTTGTGGTATGTAATGACTTTCCAGGGGGTATGTGGGCATATGTAATCTTAAGGAAATACACGTTCAGATCCTTAAACTTCCAAATAGACTCCTTCTTACAACTGACCTTTCCAAGAACATGCCTGTGATCTATACGTTCTCTCAGCAGCCATTCCCATTTTCACAATCACCGTACTGCACTTCAGAAAAGAAATGCATACCTCTCCCCCTCCTGAATCTTACCAGGGGACAATTTAAAAATGCCTTCCTTCTAAGAGGAGTCCTATAAGAGCAGAGCAAGAAATATTTATTTTGCCCAGGCAATAAACTCTTGGCACAGCTGCGGGCTCCCGTCCGTCCACAGACGTTAAGAATTCACATTCAGAAGTCAGACGGTGGTCATGAGGTATGTACCAATAAGTCTGAGTTGAAAAAATGAAATCAGACTTGGGTCTGACAAAAAGCTAGACTGATTTGGCTGGATGGTTTGACCATAAAAACCTTTGCCAATTAGATTATATAGTGAATCTTATCTGTACATTTAATAGGTAGTGCCAAAGCTTTGCCAAAAACTTATGTAAAGCTCATACCACGTAATATGTCAGATATCACACCCTTTTCAACTATCTCCACTTAATTTGTCATTTCGGGAGTTAACTTTAAAATGGGAAAGGAGGCATGCAGTTTTTTCTAAATTTTAGGGGGCATAAGAACACAAAGTTTAGCTGAGGAACTGAAGGCTCCCAAATCCTGACTGGGAGAGTGGTGTGCCATTTACCACTTCCCTGGCCGGGGGCTGGGGTCGGGGCACACTGTGGGGGGTGGCGCGCGGGATGGGACTAGGGAGCCCCAGCCAGCAGCCAGCCGACACACCGAGTCACACATGTGGCCCACAGCTGCCACACGGTCGGATGAGGAATGCTGCGAAGCTGAGAAGCTGTTAGAGGTATGCCACGGCCCCCGTCACATCCAGCCCCCAGACACCTGCTGACAAAGCGGCTGCGATGGAGGCGTGTTTCCTTGCCTGGCAATTTTCCAGCCAGTCCACACAGATAGGCAACTCAGCCTTTCCACTTCTTCCCCGGAGATGGCAGCTTATGAGAGGACATTAATAAATGAGGTGGAAGGCACTCTGACCTCGCAAGTTTAATAGTTTCTTTTCCTGAGAATGTCATACAACTTAATTTGATTTGGCATCACTCCTATCTCCTGAGTCTTTGGCTCTTTATTAATTCATTATTGCTGTAAAAGGATTATTCAACTCAAGAGGATAGAGAAATTAAGAGGTATCAACCAGGGAGGAAGGTTAGATTCGAAAAGATAGATTTA